GAAGAGGTCTCCACCGGGGGAAATTTTGAAATTAGGGTGCAAAATCCTGAATTCTGGGCACTTTGGCATTGTGTTAAAAAGAAAGTGGTCCGGCCAAAGCCGTACCGGCCGGACTGGCTGCTACGCCCCTGTGTTGTGGTTGTTGTTTCAAATCTTCATTATTTGTTGTTCTTTTTCCTGCTGCTTCTGCTACTTCTAAATTTAATGAAATGTTGAAAAGTTCTCATGCTTGTCTGGTTCCTGTATATGTTCTGTTTGTCCATCCCTGTAGGCGATGGTGGCTGGTGCAGCAAGGTTAGGGCATTGTCTGTGTTCAGGTTTTTACCTGCCATAATCAAGCTGTTTTACAGAAGGTCCCTGGTTCTAGTCCTGGTGGTGACAGTGAATTGTTTTCTTTAGACTTTCCCGTTTGAATCTTTCTCTCACTAATACAATAAATTTCACGGTTCGCGTGAGACTCGGCTGCAAGCCGAGTTTTCCGCATCCGTCGTGGGAACGCCATCACCCTCTAGGATCAAAGGCGCAGATGCAGCGCCTAAACGGTGGGAGGTGAGTAGATCAGACCCACCACCAAGTGGTCAAAGACCGAAATCCCATTAGCTGCATCCATGTTACCCTCGTGCCAGGCCACGAGTTCCCAATTAACAGTGGGTCGCAGCACGGCTGGAAAAATTCCTTCCGCTCAAACCAGTGAATATTTTACAGAAATCCTCTTGTTTACCGAAAGTAATGTCTTTTGGGTGAACCACCACAACTCAATGTTCCTGATGATGGTTGTAAGACCGAAACGTCGAGGGATAAATATGTTTGAAGTTCAGAGTGAATAGCAATGCGAATGTGACTGGTGGCGGTTTGCCCAATCACATTTGTCTCAGATATGAGTATGAAGGTACAGGAAGTGTCCAAACTTTTTTTATTGTTTTTTTTTCTTTACGTATGCACATTCGGGCTCTCCGCCTTCTCCATGAAATAAAAAGACAGCCCACAGCATTAATTTAAAGGAAATGTTCTAACGTATTCTGCGTGTTGTTTGCATGTGCTGTTTCAGGACTCTGGAAGTAATCCCACCGCCTAGAGATTTCTGGACACAACCGATGGTAAGAGACATTCTCTGGCTGCCCTCTCCTCTTCTAAGTCGTCTCCTTGTGAGAAGGCACCATTGCCTGTTTACTGTAAAGCGTGAAATTTTCGCAGCATTTTTTTAGTTCGCATTTTCAGAATCCGGACAGGTTTGTGAGGTTTTAATTTTGCGATTGCAGAATGGCATTCTTGCTAAACCTTTCATGGATCTCCTTTTCGCACTGTCTAAATTTCGCGATTTCCACGCGGTCGCGAATTTCGCAGAAATTCGACCATGGCAATTTATTTCACGGTTTACAGTAGTTGAACGACAACACTGTATAAATAAAAGCACAACAACCACAACAACAACAACAACCACAACAACAACAACAACCACAACAACAACAACCACAACAACAACAACAACAACCACAACAACAACCACAACAACAACAACAACAACAACAACAACAACAACAACAACATGGACTGTGTTGCTGCAGTGACTGTTGTGTGCTCAGTCAGGCCTGGATGCATGGACAAGTTAGCACTGCGCTGCATCAGTAGTGCAGAAGCCTTTGCTGGCGTAGTGTAGGTTTGGGGCTACACCGAACTCTGTACCAGTGTACAGCTACTGTAAAAGCAGACATTTTCGGTGGTGTAATATTTTCGGTATTCTCCAAAATCGACAGTTCGGTGGAGGGAAATTTTCGGTAAACCCGCTTTCCAGGTAAGTGTACTAGTACTATACAAAATGTTTCGGTAAAAATGTCGCACCAAAGTTACCGAAAATAAGACACCACCGAATATTTCTGCTTTTACAGTGTGCAGTGTTTGCAGGTCTGGGACTACACAGCGACCAGCACTAGTTGACCCATGCTATCCGCCTGCTATTGAGCAGTATATTTGAAATATTTTCCATTGATATTGCATTGTTGAAACACGTATGTGGGTCTTGGGGGCAGATAACGTTTTTCAGAAGTGGCTAGGCCGGGGCGGGGTTTTTGAGAGAAGGCTTTCATCTTCTTGGGTACTGACCAACATCTCGACTCCTCCATCTCTCTCTCTCTCTCTCTCTCTCTCTCTCTCTCTCTCTCTCTCTCTCTTTCCTTCTTTCTCTATTGTGTGAATATTCGAGTGCACATCACACTTCTTCACATCACGATTCCCTTTGTGGGAGGCAACTACTTCGAAGTAGACTGGTAAAATGTCTACAAAATTAATGTAGATAGGCGTGCCCCTCCCTCTCCATGATTATTGTGTCTCGTTCTCGGTTTTGCTTCTCCCTCAGGCTCTTGTCCCTCCCTGTTGATGCTGATACTGTTCTTGTTCGTGCTCTTGTTCTCGCCATCTCAGGAATATGAAGGCCTGCCACTTGCACCATGAGTTTGATACATGTCGGAACCACCGCCCTTCTCGCCTCCAATCAGCATCAGCAGCTATGGCGGCGGCCGCATCGCGCTTGTCTTCGCTCTACTGGCCATTATTTATTGTGCGTTGTACGCATAGCCTGCCGTCGGTGGTGGTGGTGGTGGCTGGGTCAGTGAGCTTGGTCCTGGGGTACTAATATCCTTAGTGAGCTTGGTCCTGGGGTATTAGTACCCGTCAACACAGCATCGGTGATGGCAATGCTCTGCTGCCCATCATTTATTACGCACTTTAGGTGTAGGCCACCGTCGGTGGTGGCTGGGTCAGTGAGCTTCGTCCTCCTAGTGATAGTAGCCGTCAACCCGGCATCCGTGATGGCAATGCTCTTGTCTAAACTTCACGCCATCGCGCTCTGGCCCGGCGGCCACAGCAGCGGCCAGTACGGGGAACTGCAGTTCTCAGGCGGAGTCCGAGAGCAGCTCCAGGTGCAGCGTCGCCAGTGCTCAGACTTGTAGTGAAGACCAGCACTCAGCAGCAGCAACAGAAACACCACCAGCACAAGCAGCAATACCACCAGCAGCAGCACAAGCAGCAACACCAGCACCAGCGGGAGGAGGAGCAGCAGCAACACCACCACCGCCGCCGCCACCATCAGCAACAGTGCCACCACCAGCACCAGCACTAACAGCAACACCTCCACCATCGCCACCATCAACGGCAGCAGCAGTGCCATCACAGTCCCATGTTGACGAACGTAGCCTAGTGAGGAGTTTGGATTGTTTGGAGCTTCCTCACCGGCAGCGTGACATCAGCAACACCCAAGCATGCAACCCCCGGAGTTTAATCAGTTCTTGTGGCCGAGTAACCCACAAACGCGTGTGTGTGCGTGTGTGTGGCATGAAGACTATGTTGTGCTTGAACAAACAAGGCTGCTCTTACCAGTAACACGAATTGTACTGGCCTGTTGCCGTTCATCTCTGCTGCTGCTCACGTTCCACTACGTCGGGAATGTCGTGTGTCTGTGCACTAGCCTGTGGTGGAGTTGTGTCAACCTCTGCATCTGTAAAGCATGTTTCTAGGGAAACAGCGCTGCATCAATGCCTGGACACATTTGCTCCGGTGTCTGTTGTGCAGATAGCCTGGCCTGATACGCAGGCATGCATGCGTGTGTGTGTGTGTGTGTGTGTGTGTGTGTGTATCCGTTACCCGTGTTTAAATTAATAGCTAGTTGCCAAAAAGCCGGGCATCGGAAACATAGTGACACCATTACATGTCATAATTATATTATCATGTTTGTTTTAGAGCCCTGTTTCGCTGAAGTTTCTTCAAGAAACTATAATTCTTTTGTGAATTTTGGCATGATCGTAAGTTTGAAGTGGTTACTTGCAGAGCATCATCAATCACTATCATTCTGAAGAAGACAATCGTTATATTTATCAGTATCTATCAGTCTAGTCTTGCTCCCGTTGTGTGGTCCGGCTGTCTACCGTTGCATTGCCTGTGAGTCAGCCTGTGTGAGTGTGTTTGTGCGTGTGTGCGAGTTGGTACCGAGACAAACTAGAACGTCAAGCAAAATTCAATGACTCGATGTGGCCCGCGCGCAGGAATTGGGGAGCAGTAACTAAGTAGAATACTTTTATAATCTGCTCCCTGATGGGAATGACACCATGTAGCTAGCAAGAGTATACATAAACTGTCCCCGGGGAAAATTGTGATTCCGCGGCCGCGTTTTTTTCCGCGTTTTTTGCGATTTTTTAAAAGACCGCGTTTTCCGCGATTTCCCCCCGTTTTTTGAACTTTTTTGTTGCACTACACGTACACACAGTGCACTTTTCGGTCAGCAACGTCTCATCGTGGCGGCTTTTTACTCAAATAATGGGTGCTTTATACTGTAAGACATGTTATTATAACGAGTCGCAAATTTAACGATTGTCCAAAATTCATAGGTTAACGAGAAGATATGTTAACGATCTTGCAGTATTCTGCCATATCCACACACAGCATATATGAAGCAGTACGGCCTCAACGGATCTTATTATAACGAAGAAATGTCATCCGTTAAAACGTTAGATTTGCTTCCTCGTTATATATACATGTCTTACAGTACACCAGAGACTTGTAACTGATTGATTTCACTACATACTCACTGAAAATTGCCGCATTCACCGCATATTTACCGCAAATTCACCGCAAATTAAGCCATATTATGCCGCGTTTTTCCCCGCGTTTTTTGCGATTTTTTTCCGCAATTTTCCCCGGGGACAGCATAAAGTAACCAGAGTGTGCAGCTTCGGGAGAATCATCCCGGGCCTTTTGTTTATGCGACACAGTAACTCCTTTCCTGCACCTCGTACTGTCATTTTACCGTACACAGCCAAGGCCGTATTAAATTATTATGTTTTGGGTGCTATTGCTTGTACAGTACAGGAAAAGGCCGTGGTTTGTATCACAGTTAGACTTGACTGCTGCAGTCCCTCACTTAGTCTTTGGCATGCGTGCAGTTTCGAACTCTCACTTCAAACCAGGAGCTCTTACTCTCTTCGGTACAGTGATCTCTATTCAAACCAGACTAAAATAAAACTACACGCAAACACGATCATACATGTACAAGTAACAAAAAAGCAAGACAAAAAATACGACTATTATTCGCAGCAGCTGCTATACAGCCATGGCTACGGTGAATGGGTTTGGACCAAGCCAAGCCACAACAACAACAAAAAAACCAACAGGGGAGAAAGCGGAAAAAGGGAGACACGGCACGCGCTACGGTATGTACAAGGAATAAAATATTGAGCGTGTTAAGTCTCGCCTGGTGTCGCGTCCAAGACGCGTATTCCGTACGGTTTTCAAAGGACTGAGCCGAAGGGAAATCCCCCTGGCAACACAAGTCGGGAGATTCATGATTTGGTAAAATACAGCAGAAAAACAATAAGCAAAAAATGTTCAATGTGGGATCATGGCACACTATACATACACATCTATACACAAAGGCATTCTTCTGCAGGTTTGAGCACCTGGTGAGCAGCTCAGATGGCAGCATTCCGCATTCCAACCTTGGATTAGGAGCAGTTGTCGAATGTATGGCCTACGGCCACACATCAAAAGGAGAGAGAGAGAGAGAGAGAGAGAGAGAGAGAGAGAGAGAGAGAGAGAGAGAGACAGAGAGAAAGAGAGAGAGAGAAAGAGAGAGAGAGAAAGAGAGAGAGAGAGAGAGAGAGAGAGAGAGTACAGAAGAAAGGGCTGCTGCCGCACTATAAGTACATGCCTTCGGGTGCGCCCTCCTTCTTGCGATAGAGCACGTTCTCCTTGGCCTTCTGAAAGTCGTCGTTTGTAACACGCATACGTCGCTCGCGCAGTGCCAGCAAACCAGCTTCGGTGCACACAGCCTGAACGGAGTGGAAACAAGACAGAGATGGCAACAATGACAACAGTAGCATATACCAACAGCAAGTGAAAACAATTCTCAGTCCTTCCAGTGCACAGTTGCAACAGCGGTCAAGTGCAATCAATTCTCAGTCCTTCCAGTGCACTCAGTTGCAACAGGGATCACCCTCTATAAACCAGCATAACTTTCAGTTACCAAAATGTCGTTTTCATGCACATTGCAGTAGTAAATCAGATTCGTTAATCCAGCACCCTCTCTCTAGTCCAGCAGAGTTTCCGTAGCACAAATGCTGTGCTGGATTCTCAAGATCAAATCGCTGTGCATGTACCTTGATATCGGCGCCGGAGAGGTCATCCTTCGCCATGATGTACTCTTCCAGGTTGACGTCGTCACTGAGCATCATGCGGCCAGTGTGGATGGTGAAGATGCGACGGCGGGTCCGCTCGTCCGGCAAGGGGAACTCGATCTTTCGGTCTATTCTCCCCGGTCGGATCAGGGCAGGGTCTAGCGACTCAATGCTGTTCGTTGCCATGATCACCTGTGAATAGAGAGGAGAAAGGAGAGCAGAGCAGAAAGTCAGAGAGAGAGAGAGTGAGAGGAGAGAGAGAGAGAGAGAGAGAGAGTGTATGTGTGTGTGTGTGAGTGAGAGAGAGAGAAAGAAAGCAAGTTTCACTTTTGCCAGGCCACCACCATAGGAGAAGCAGTGCCTGGGGGAGGTGAGACGGGGCACTGAGTGACAGTAATGTTCTGAATACAAGTAATTATAGTCGTTCCAACAGCCCAGTGTGGTGTCCCATGTGCTGCTGCGTACCTTGACATCGCCTCTGGAGTCGAAACCGTCCAGTTGATTGAGCAGCTCCAACATAGTCCGCTGAATCTCACGCGTACCACTGGATGACGACTGATATCTGCACATGGCCAGGACACACACACGCAAGACGAAGCACACTCAAGACTTGGCCACAAACACGACGGCAGTTCTGTCACCGTCCTAGGTGAAAATGTGACGGCAGTTGTACACTCTTGGGGGGTGATGAGTACACTCATACCTGGTATATCCGGACCCCGAAGTTACTGGCATTTCAGTCTACCGGTACCATTTGGGTGAGTTTTAGTGGAAATATTACTACTCCTTCGTCACGCTCGGTGGAAATAGTGACGTCATATGCCATATCTATGGCCGTTCCCCATCAAAATGTACTCGTATGTGACTTGAGAGGTAGTAACGCACATATAGGCGCATGTGCCTGTATTAGGATATAAGCGCACTCTCACTTATAAGCGCATGCTCTTATAGGCGAAGCACTACCAAAATTCTCAATTTGACAAAATCACGGATAAAAGCCTGCAAACAGTATACAGGAACCATGAAACTGACACTACAAGACCTAGTCAAACACAAAGACTCTTGGCAAATGAACTGTGACCGCGCATGTGCGCTTAGGTGAAAAATAATTCATTTTTGAAAATTGGATTCATAGCAAAAATTCACTTATAAGCACATGTGCTCATATGTGCGTTATTACGGTATGGACATTTGTCACATTTCACAAAGTTACGCGCAGTGCCCGGTCCCGGACCGCCCAGAGAAACGAGGTATGAGTGTACACTCTTGGAACTACAGTCAGACCTCGCTTATCCGGTCCTTTTTTATTCGGATCCCTCGCCAGCCGGAAGAAAATGGTTGGTTACCGATTTACGGCATACCTTAAAAGCCCCTGTATACGCCCACTCGAAATTACGCCCACCCTCCGTGTACACGCCCAGTCAGGGGAAGTCAACACTTTTGTTTCAAACTAGCACCCATGCCCATGTATACTCCCAGGTATACCGGAAACACCAGTACATGTACAGGTACTGATACCCAATACTTACTGCTATCCCTATTCCAAGTATACGCCCGGTTCCAAAATAATGCCCGTGCCCTTGTATACGCCCAGGAAATCGAGGCTGCTATTCTATACCCCCGGGGCCCATACACGGGCTTTTACGGTATGCCATGCATACATACAGTATGTGTGTTCGATTATCTGGTTCCCTCGCCTATCCAGATATTTTTGTGGGAAACGGTTGTGTGCGGTTAAGCGGGATCTGACTGTATCCACAAACTCTTCATGTTCAACATACTGGATGGAGAAATACCAGGTGTACAACCATCCGACTTACCTTTTCTTTCCTACAGCGTCGATTTCGTCGATGAAGACAATTGACGGTGCGTGTTCATCTGCAACACGGAAGAGTTCTCGTACCAACTTAGGACCATCTCCCTGCACAGCACATTTAAATGTAGTCGGGAAAAATGAATAGACTCCGTCAAGAAACAGTCGCACAGGACAGAATGACACAAGATGCCTGGCCTGAAGGCACCAACAAAACATATGTGTGTGTGTGTGTGTGTGTGAGTGTGTGTGTGCGTGTGCGGTAGGGATTCACTGGCCAGAAAAGCCATTTCATAGCTGTGTGGTGTAGACCAGGCTGAATAGTGGCGGTCAATTCTTCAGGCTTGCAAGCTGTTGACTGGTGCAATCCCAGGACAAGTTGCTATGGCTTCTGCTGTAGCATCGCTATCATCGCCTCCGGTGATGGGCGTCAAAAGGTCGAAAAAGTGTGTGCGCGTGTGTCAAACGAAAGCCTGACCACGAGTCTAATATCAGAGAAGTGGCATGCCAACAAACTCACCAAGTATTTCTGGATAAGCTCCGAGCCGACAACACGCAGGAAAGTAGCGGACGTCTGATTTGCAACAGCCTTGGCAAGCAGTGTCTTTCCTACACACACACACACGTGCAGCATGGAGAGACGCACCAATGTCAGAACAACATCATGAAGTGATGACTTCACACATGTCTGACAATGCATGCCAACGAAAGTTCTGGGTACATACAAACGTCACACATAGAAGCCGTATAGTTCATCCTAACCAGTTGTCTAAGGTCCTCAGGCTGCGTATAGTGCTCTATGTCCAGTGGACAGAGCCAGTATTACAATGATCGCACAGCAATGAAGCAAACAAATCTCTTTCCGCCGTTACTCGGAGTTTCGTATGGAACACTAGACCAGACAGCATCCGAGTAGCGGCGGAAAAAGATTAGTTTGCTTCATTGCTGTGTGATCATTGTAGTTCATCCTAGCCAATAGACTCCACAACACCGGTAGGCACCCGCTGTACAGACCGACGGGCGCAGAAGAGACTCACCAGTTCCTGGGGGTCCGTACAGAATGACACCCTTCGGTGGCTTGATGCCCATGTCCTCGTAGTATTCAGGGTGAGTTAGCGGCAGCTCAACAGATTCCTGAACACACACATGTGCACACATGTGCACACATACACACACACACACACACACACACACACACACACACACACACGTGCAAATGAGCACACAAACACTCATACACATACAGTAGCAAAAAGATGACAAAAATTAGAGCAGTGCTTTTCAGACCGCTGTCCAGACACCTCCATAGAGACGGCTGCGCAAAGCCAGCTGATCAATCAAAAGACAATGCTGTTAAGAATGGGGCAAGCTGCAGTTTCAAGCCCTATTATACTTCGAAACGAGAATTCGGGGTACAAACCGCACAGGCGATTTCGGCCCAATCTCCCACGTGGAAAGTACTGTTCTAACTTCTGCAATACATATACGTTACACTCGAAGCCTGATGTATACAAGTACCGTAAAGTAACGCCAGAGCGCCCCACCTTCTCGTCCTTTCGTGGTCGTATTGTGGAGGTGATTTCCCACCCGTAGGTCATACAACACGAACCTTGTACACACGTCGCACGCTGTGCACTCAATCCGTACTCAATTTGCCTGCAAGCGAACATGAGTTCCACACAAAAACCTGCCAAGTGTGACCTTAGTATAGTACGGTTCTCACGCCGTACAAACTTCGTTGCACTCTGCCATACGAATTTCCTTTCCCTGGCTGTAAAATCAAGGTGGGGCGCTCTCGCGAGACGGGGCGCTCTGGCGGTACTTTACGGTACATGTATCTACATGTACTGGTTTTCATCTGCTTGGTGATGGGAGCAGACAGACGAACGGGGAGCAAGAAAAAGGAGCAGACGAACAAGGAGTAGACAAACGAGGAGCAAGCAAACAAGGAGGAGAGAAATGTGGTAGACTCTAGCAACTAACCTTGATTTCCTGGATCTGCTGATCGAGACCACCGACATCAGCGTACGACTCAGTCGGTGCTTTCTCCAGCTTCATCACGCGCACCATAGGATCAGTCTCCTCGTTCAGAACACCGACCACAGCATGAACCTGTGCAAAGGCGACCGTGTGTGTGTGTGTGTGTGTGTGTGTGTGTGTGTAGCAACACAGAACACTCTTCAATGACAGCAATGACAAAGAATTAAGTTTAAAGGCGTGAGTGTGCATACATGCAAGCCAGACGGACCAGCTGATAAACTGGCATTTGGGGCAAGCAACTACTTGGGGTTGAGCCGGAGTGCGTAATTACGCCTGCGAGCTACCCTCTACCTGCACTGCACGCTGATCTGCTGGGCTAACACCCAAGTGTGTTTGACAGACAAAGTAGGGACACAATAGACTGTCCTTCACCACAAGCATACAACTGACAATGCAAACACTGATATGAGGATACTAGGAAAACAGGAGAGAGAGAGAGTGAGAGAGAGAGAGAGAGAAAGTCAGGGGGGGGGGGGGGGGGAGTGAAGAGTGTGAGAGAGAGCAAATGTGGTCAACACACACACACACACACACACACACACACACACACACACACACACACACACACACACACACACACACACACACACACTACTACTACTACTACTACTACTACTACTACTACTACTACTACTGACAGCTGCCAGAAATGGCCACGCCGCTCCCTAAAGGGAGGTACTGTCAGAGAGGTTAGGGGAGAGGTTACACACACACACACACACACACACACACACACACACACACGCGTATAGACACACACAACCAGTCACCGACTAGTATCTCCAGAACATGCCCGGGTTACACGTACCTTATGGTTCATCAGGATAGTACAGCCCGGCTCTAGCTGGTCCTTGTCTACGAATGACAGTATACTGACGTAGTACTCAGAGCCCATGGAGGAACTGACAATCGCATGGTTATCGTCAATGATCTCCTCTAAGGTTCCTACTGGCATGGGTGAGCCACGGAGCTGATCCAGCTTGGAGCGCTCCTCCTACACAGCAGTACAACCACAACAAACGCACATGAAGAAAAACAGCAACAACATCTACACACACATCATGCCAACAAGAATAACAGGATACTCCGATTTTCATGCACTAAGCGATCGCCAGAAAACAGTAATGAGAAAAATCTGGATACTGTTTTATATACCCACAAAGCAAATGTGTAAATAACAGCAGTAGTGAAACATCATGTCCATAGCTGAAACGCTGATAGCGTAAACAATAAACGAGACAAAGAAACTAATGCTGAGATTGCACCATTACAGCTTGCAAGGCTGGGGAATTGACCACCACTACTTTAGCCCTGTATTGCACCATGCCATTGATCGAAGCGTCTTCACTGGGCAGTGGATCACTATTCTAGATCACATTTTTTCTCTCTTTCTTTGACACACGCTACACACATATGCGCCTCACAGACGCACCACACAAACATGCATGCATGCAAACACACACACACACACACACACAGAAAGAGTGATAAGTTGGCGTTTCGTTTTACAGTCTACACTCAAATATCCTGCAACAAAATGACTGCAACAATACCAGGTTTAGAGATCGAAGCAAGAAAAGGGTGGGCGTTGATCGTAATCACATCTCAACATACGCGTGCATGCGTGCGCACACACGCACGCGAACATGATTCATGGCCTACAGTAATGTCCAGTGTGCATCAACAGACCAACACATACACGCGGACATGAGCAAACAACGCACCTCGATTTTCTCATCCTGAGGCCGTTCATGTTCCTGGTTACGGATGAGCTCTTCTTCCATTAGTAAGTAATCCTTGATACGCTCCATCTTCAATAAGCGTAGCCGGCATTTGGCATGAGGCGTAACTGAACATCGGGAGCACACACATACACACACACACACACACACACACACACACACACACACACACACACACACACAAACACACACACACACACACAGGAGAGAGAGGAAATGAAGCGAAACAGTTCAATAACGTACCTCCAAGGGACGTAAAGATCTGCACTGCGTAGCCGAGGTAGAGTTGTTAGCCCACTGTCTGACTGTATATGATCTGTACACTTGGTGGAGTCAAAACAACATTTTCTCCTTCCTTTTTTCATGAATGTTATATCGGGTGAACTTCATACTGAACTGGTTGTGTACATGTACAGTCGTCCCTCTCTAATCCGGCACCTTTTGCAACGACATTTTCTGCTGGATAAACAAGGGTGCTGGATTATCAAATCCTGCTCTCCAACCCGGCCCACCTGTTAACATACATGTTTGTGTCGTACGTCAAAACGTAGGGATTTTCTGTGTCAATCCAAGTACTTTGTGTAATACATGTCTTTAAAATACACTTGGGAATATCCTATGCACTGGAATAGGATATTCCCAGGTGTATGTTACATATGTTGTGTATGTTGCAATGCTCCCTGACCGTATGCGATGTACAACTGCTGGATTAGAAAATCGATTTATGTACAGTTTGAGTGATTTGTTGCAGAAAATCGCTGCTGGAGGCGGAATTCAAGTGCCGGATTAAAGCGTAGAAAATGAACTGAAAAAATCCGTTTTGCCAGAAAGTGTGCTGGTTTGCAAGGGTGCTGGATAAACAAGTGCCGGATTAGAGAGGGACGACTGTAGTACCCGTGAAACAATGAGCTGCAAACATTTCCACAGAACTAAATCTAGATCAGTGACTAACACGCACAATGAGTACCATGACTGTACACCACGCATACGCCCGTTGTAAGAGAAGCACGCAAATCCGCACATGCACTGGATGTGCACCCACAGATTTTCTCTTGTAGCAACGATAGCGAACACGATCTGAATGAGACAGATCAAGACTCGCGCCAGATAACTGTCCAATCCACACAACTGGCGAAGTCATGTGAATCGACCACCAATGCACACCTGGTCTACACCACACGGAGTACATGGGTATAAAACGGCCAAGACAGTTACCTGTGCACGCCCTACACAAGGGGGTAGGGATATCAGGACGGGCAGAAGCAGGTTTTGATCAGTCCGGCCAAACCCTATCCTTTCATACTTTTACTTTGTGTATGATGATGTAGCGCATACACACACAACCTCCTCAGCAGTAAACATGCGCTGACGGTGGCCAACAAGTTTAGTTGGTGCGGTGATGACGTGACCAACCGGACCGGTTCCGGCAGGCCTGCATATCATACGTCAATGGTACATCAGAATCTGGTAACAATGGGGCTAGCACAAACACATACACCTGTACGGACTCGCATGAGCTGATTGTTTAGTAACTGGTGGTGTTAGTGGGCACTACAGTGGACATTATAGTGTAGTGTAGCATTCCCTCACTAGTGGGACAATTGTTAGTAGGCTAGGGCCTGTTTTGCACTTCCCACTCTAAATAGAGAATACAAACAAAACTTGTAGTTTCTTGTCCTTTTTCTTTTCTATACAATCATACACATGTGGACAACAACCTTCCTGCAGACCCATACATTGCCATCTACATACCTGGGGGTAGTTTATTGGCCGTGTCTGGTCCCTTGGACTTCTTCTTTCTCTTGCCAACACGAGTGGGTACTGGGGGTTCATACTTACGCTTCTGCTTGGCAAAACGCACATATGCACGTGGACATACGGGACACACACATGCGCACGTGGGCACACACACGCACACACACACACGCATGCACACACACACACGCGCACACACACACAATAGACACAACGAGAGAAACAGCAATACAGATTAGACAAGATACATGGCAGTGCAGATACTCATGAGTATACACTGCCCGGGTCTCAATCTGGTTAGTGCTTGAAAATGTTTCAGTGGGGTTACCGGTATTTCCCCTTGTATTGGACCTGCCCAACATCAAAGACGGCATGCAGCTGAAGCCAATGAAAAGTTGTGGATATGATGCAAAAATATCTTATCCCCTTTTCACACAAGTGACATGCCAGTTTACTTTTGCTGACTTCAAGGATATCCGGATAGTCTTATCTAATGCTGTTGAATTTGAAACAGTATACGAATCTTGAATACAATTTTTAAGGGAGAATGGGGTCAATGCCTAGTACACCGTGCTACGATCAGAGGCCAACACAACGTGATCAACTATTCTCTACGTAAAATGGCTACAGATCATGGCAATTCAGAAACCGCTGATTGAGAAGCGTTGCGTGAACTCCTTTCCTCTTTCAAAAAAACTCATCATCAGTAGCAGGAAGCAAACAGCAGGATGTAATACTCACTTTATCATCTTTCTTTCCACCGCCATCGCCTCCTGGCGGGCCACCCAGCCCGCTCTGAGAACCTCCCTGCGAAAAATCAAGACCAAGATGGCAAGAAGAGGAAAGGTCTATTGTCTAAAAAAATAATTCAATGAAAAGCAACATTTATCAAGAGGAAATTTCAAACAGAACTGAACGCCATGCAAGCTCGACAAAACTGAACGGAACGGCATACCATGTGAGCTCTCCTCGCTTTTAGTTATAGAAATACCAGTTCAGACAAGTAATCTAATCCGCGTCAGAATCTTCGCTCGAATAACTTTTCAACTTTGCACCAGTAAAAAGTCTTTGCTTGTTTCAGTTCTTTGAAGGTGAAGGTTCTCGATCCTCAGTGTGCCTGCTATTTTTTTCAAAAGTGATCAGCGATTTTATGAAGCGTTTGCGCTGGACGACGAGCGATAGAGTAGGTTTAGGCTTGAAAGACCACGGAATTAATGGAATGTAAACGGTTTAGCAACCATGGAATCGTAGTAAAATCGCTAAAGCTATGAAACACGTGCTAGAAAAATTCAGAATTCACGGGGTAACCAGCTAAGGTTCACCGCGCTTATCGCGAGGTGGCAAAGCTCCTTGTTGCACTTGGAGTTTTGCGAAGTTCTTGTTGAGAACTCGGGAAACAGTTTGATTGATTGTTTTTTTATTTAATGATGCTGGCCTTCTAGAGGCAGGAACGTCCATTTCACGGCTGCAGTTTGTTGGATACAACGCAATGGAGCTGTACTGCTCTCGTAAGGAAGCACCTTCTTCGTTGGAGTCGGAGAACTGTCTTGCCGGAGGTGTTCATGTTTTGAGAATTTTATTTTGGGCTTGTGTTGCGTGCGTGCGTGCATGCAATAGTCTCGAACGTTGTGCCAGAGCATCCTGTCCTCTCGCCGGTCTCTGGTTGTGTTTTTGAGCGACGTCTGATCGAGAAGTATGTCGGTGAGACGGGAAACGATCCCGTCAATAGCCAGCCATTGACCTTGGAGCAGCTCATTGATATCAAAAGTGAGTCACGAAATTGAATAATATTACAGGTATATATTTTTTCAATTTTGCAATGAAATTTCAAGTTGGGAGAGAAAAAATGCTATTGTTCTAGCCCGATGAGAAGGAGAACAGTCTCGTCGCCACTGTAGACTATTGGCGTGCATGCGTTTCTTCCACTGTCCGGGATTGTTCCGGTATGCCCGGCTGTCCGCAATTTGATCTACATCAGACCTTTTTCAGAATAATTTGTGCACACGAATTTATTGTTATGGATCTGTCCGGCGTTGCTGTGATATTTGGGAGAAGCAAAAGGGATCTGATCCCTTCTTATTAGGATGTGAATGATGTTCCCACTAGCCTTGTTTCGACCTTGAGGGATCCACTTCCTTCAAGTCACCGTATTATTATATTAGTGGTCTGCTTCTGATGGTGTTGTGTGCAATACATAACACATAGCACATGTACTGTCGTGGGCATTGAAATCCGATGGGATGACCAGGGCTGGCACCCTTACTACTTTCATCGCGTACACGCACTGTAGTTCACGCACATACTCTGTAAAAATGGACCAGCAGTGCTTGCGGCTGCAAGGCCAGCGCCCCGTGGCCGCTAGACTTCTCAACGGATTTCAATGTCCACAACAATACAACTTATGAAGCGAGCAGTGGCAATGACACAATGAGAGCATGTGTGCATTGGCCTATGGCTGCTTAGTGCATGGTCCTGCCCCCCTACCGGCTTGGTGGTGGTGGTGGGGGCGGAGCTCTGTTCAGCCACACTGGGAATTTTGCTATCCACTATAACTAGACCAGCATCTGTCAAGCGGGTGCGTGACCCAACTGAAGCCAGCCACCATCCGGTCACAGTGTTGTATATGCCATATCGCCCTTTGTAGTTGTTTTTGGGAAGCTTGCGATTGACACGTGTCCCGTTTACATTGCATAGGTATCGTATTTTCCTATTAGAAGTCGACCTTTTGGGACCAAAAAGTCAAACCCGAAGTTAAAGAGGGGGGATAGTCGACTTACAACCTGAGCTCAATCACTATTGATCTCGAACCAGTGACTTGAGGCCCCAAACGTTGGGGGTCGACTTATATCAGACAAAATATGATGTTTGCTGGCCCTCCTTCTTACGTCTTTTCCGTGCGCAGCGAGTCCGGTTACCCGTCCTCGACCACCGTCAGCAACGAGCATTCCGGCCATTCTCAAACTGCTACAGGATGAGTGGGTAGGTAGACTCTGTAGTCATCATCTGTACTGTAATGTGACTCCTTTGACCTTAATCTTGGCTGGATAAGTGATGTAATGATGACATCGGTCTATGGTGCATGCACATTGAACACCGCACCATTGCATAGTCCCTGTTGAGTACCTATTTTGGTGTGACTGTGGTGACATGCGTCTAATTCAGTCGGGCGGAAATCCCATTAGCTTTACATTGTTTATCATCATGGCGTGGCCGATGTTGCGTACAGTGTCTGGGAGTCTGTAGTGATTTTGTCGCAATGTTTTTGAGTAGGTAAGTCTGATTCTGTGTATACCGTAATTTGAATATCTACTTTCTCGACCACTCCGGATGCCGCCACTTCCTTTAGTTTATCCCCGTAGAAGGCACAACTGTCACAACTTGGTGTGTGTGTTTGTGTGTGTGTCTTATCGGTCACGCTCGCAGGACGCCGAGATGCTGCACAGTTTTACTCTTCGCCAGCAGCTGCAGACAGCACGGCAAGGTCAGTACTGTTTGGTGCATGATCAATACAATGTCATTGCACATGTACTGTTGAGTGCCGAAGGACCGAAAAGCTAGAATTTCACCAGGTGCAGCATACCGTTATATATGCGGTGATTCCGCTGCGCATAGACTGCTGTGCATGAAAATGAGAAATGCGTAGGCTACGATGCTGACACCCCCCCCCCCCAGTTCTTCAGCGCACACCAGTACTGTACTTGCTAATCACGCCTTCCGTGATTTCATAGTCTACCTGTTCGCCCGTTACATGTTGGAAGCAGCAGTGCAGCGCATGGATGTTGCTGTGTAAGTTGTGCGCCTGTGTGTGAGCATATATTTGTGCCCATCGGTGTATGAACCAATTTCTCCGAGTGCTCCCCTCTCTATCGTGGTAAACGTGTAACGCTTTTCTACACAAAGAGAATCGTCTGAGTGTTTATGAACACGGAACTCCGAGTTACGAGAAGACTTTTGGCCTCTGTTGTTCTGCCTTTGTGTAGTACGCTCTGCCCATTTCGAGGTGTTGAGCACTATTTGCAGCAAGGACTCCAGACACTTTGTCTAACGCTTTTCTATATATTTCTGCTGTGCGCGCATGTATATATGTGTGGGTGGGTCTGTACCACAGAGTTGTCCCATGCTCTTTATCAGCATGACACCGCATGCCGTGTTATTGCACGACTCACCAAGGAAGTCACTGCTGCCCGTGAAGGTAAGCTGGAACTGCTCTTCTTGTGTCGACCTGTGTTCGCAAATCTATGGCTGTCTGTGTCTGCTAGCATGGTTTTGCTGCAGTCGTCAGTCACGTACGTGTACGCAGTGTGGATGCTACTGCTGTTGCTGTGTTCGTAATATAAATGGCGGTGGTTTGGGTTGTAGTCGTCATCATCTTCGTGAAATAATTATAACTAGCTCAAAGTATAAGTACTTTTGTACTTCTGTACTTTCTCCGTGTTAGCTACTTGATTTTCACTGGCCTTTTTTGCTCAAAAATGTTCTCTCCTCTCTCTCTCTCTCTCTCTCTCTCTCTCTCTCTCTCTCTCTCTCTCTCTCTCTCTCTCTCTCTCTCTCTCTCTCTCTCTCTCTCTCTTTCTTTCTTTCTCTCACTCTGCAGCATTGGCTACCTTGAAATCGCAAGCTGGCTACATTCAGGCAGCACCTCAAGCCGCAACTGCTGTTGCTGCTGCGCCAGCGGACGTAATGATGGTAAGACCTTGCACAGCATCGCTGCTCGTTTGAGCCTTTGTTATTCGAACACCTCAATTCTCTACACATCAGTTGTACAAACTTGAACTTCACCTTGGTTGTTCTACCTCCAGGTGTCCAAACACCTGGATTTTCTGCACCTCAGTTGTCCAAACTCGCAGTTATCCGAACACTTTGCCCATTTGAATCTCAGCAATCCGAACACGTGAATTATCCTCGTTCTAATTTGGTTATCCCGATCCCAATCACAGCAGAGATTCTATGCACCATCGGCAAAATATCAACCTTATGTGTACCTTGGTTGTGTGAAGGTACAACATGTTTGTAATTTCTTCTTGCTATTCCTTTTTCTGCCTGTAGGCTGACGAAGCAATGGACGATGGATTGACGGTGAGTCCGAGTTTTGCGTGTGGGGGGGGGGGGGGGGGGGCAGGTCGGAGTGTGTGTGTGTGCCGTTGTGTGTGTGTGTGTGTGTGTACGTGAGTGAGTGGGTGGGTGGGGGTTCTGTCTATCTGACTACCGGCATTGAGCAAACGTTGCACGGTGTGGTATCCCACCAGCTTTCTTTCTACTTTGCACGCATTTACACAATCTCATAGCTTCTCTTGCACCGTTCTGCAATTTGCTTATGAATACTATACATATGTATTTCTCAGCTGGATTGTTTCCATCCCTGAACACCAGTCTCTTTCTTTTGTTGCTCTTGTTCTCACCCAGGGACCTACTGAGATGACAGAGGAGATTATCGAGAGAGTGAGTGTTCCGAATGTGTCCTGTTCGTTTGTGTCTATGCCCTTGGCTTTCAAGGCTTGATCTGGTTGCGCCCTATGCTTTCAAGGGCCGCGTATGCTTGATCAGCTGCCGTTTTGCACCCAAGATAATTTGTGCGAGATTTTGGACGGGTGGTCTGGCAGACGGATGTTTTCTTGTGATGATTGAGTGTCCCTGATAGCTTCTCCCGGGCATCCGTATTCAATGTGAGAATTTTCTCATTTTCTCTCTGTTGACGTTGACGTTGCACTTGTGTTTTTATTTTGCCCGTACAAGAGAATCGTCCTGAGAAAAAGAAAGAAAAAATGTGAGAATTGCATACTGGAGTGTGCTCTCGGCAGTCCAGTGGCCAATCGATGGATCGTCAAGTGCTCCAATACTTGTGTTTGGTGCACTGCGAGGTGCACTGCCCTGTTCGTCTTCTTTATTCGCTTTGGTGTTCTTTCGTTGTTTGTGTCGTAGCTGCAAGAAACAGCGGCCAAACTCACAGCAGAACGCAAGAAGGTGAGTGCCTGCCGGTTTTGCGTAGCTTCTCTGTGTGTTTCAGTGACCTGCAAGTCGTGATACTAAAGTAGTTGTGAGTCTCTGGTAGGTGTACCCTAAGTTGTTGCTGGCACCAGTTTTGCATGCTGCTACTGTTATTGCTCTTTTTGTTGTCAATGTGTTCTCTCCATCCCGGAATGTGTATTGCCTGTGTCCTTGCTGTTACAGCGCGGTAAGAAACCTCCGGAAGGCCTGGCGTCTATTGAAGAGCTCTCTGCGTACAAGCAAACGTCCACTCATCCGGTTAGTCTCTTTCACCTTCTCTGTCTATCTATTTATCTCTCTCTCTCTCTCTCTCTCTCTCTCTCTCTCTCTCTCTCTCTCTCTCTCTCTCTCTCTCTCTCTCTCTCTCTCTCTCTCTCTCTCTCTCTCTCTGTCCCTGCTTTTAATTTCTTTGTCGTGTTGTCTTCCTATGCCGAAAGGGTAGTCACCTATGTGCATTGTACTGTAAGAGGATAAAAGGGCTAATAATACTGCGAATTGATGTCTGTTGCTCACCGGGGATCTACATTGTAGCTGGATATGCCAAGCAGCCACATCACGTCAAACCTCCTTCTCCCATCTTGTCATTGGCACTATGTCTTTCCATTTTGATAACCATGATCGTGCATGGATGTGTTACATCATGTACACCTTTCATCCATGCATCTGCAAAGTTACCACCTCTTTCTGGCTCTTTCTCGCCACTTTCCATTCCATTTGTGCACTTTCAATGCTACAAAGAGGTTCCCTTTCGCCAGAGGAGAGGGCCCCACACAATAATGTGGAGCACTATTACACACAAAAGACATAACGGACGTTTACAGAGTATGTCGCAACTTCTTGCACAATGTAATCATCAGAGGCAACTTGCATATGAAGGGCTCCAATTCAAAACGCGATAAAGACCAAACCGGAGCTTTAGCGTTTATTTGTCACGAAAGAATTCGTTTTCACGGGGCAAAACGCGATACATCCCAGTCAAAATGATGCCTGAAGTTTGTGTTCTTCTGCAAAACGCGATCAAAGTCATTGATGCTGCAGTGCAGACCGAAAAAGAACAAATCAAAAATGCACTTCCTGAAATTTCCACAAAATGGATTTATCTCGTTTTGAATTGGAGCCCTTCATATGTTCCCTACCAGTGCTATATTAATTATTTGCTATGTATGTGAACCTAGGTATTGGCTTTTCTGTGTGTGTGCTCGCGTGCAGGGTCTGCACAGCGCCAGTGTTCCTGGCATTCTCAGCCTCAGTGTCAACGAGCGCATGGGCCGCATCGCCACCGGTGGCGCCGACAAGAACGTCGTTGTGTTTGAGCGCGACACCGAGCAGATAGTGTGCACGCTCAAGGGTCACACCAAGAAGGTCACGAGCGTCGTCTATCATACAGATAAGGTGTGTACTGTTCATTTGTGTTCTAAATCATAGTCATACTTCCTCCGTTAACAAAAACTTCGCGATGGATTTTGATGGATATGAAAACGCTTAGAACCGGTCAAGAACAGTTTGTATCGACTGCAAATTACTGGACGACGGTGATTCAGCCTATGTACAGCGCTTTTACAAGAGAAACTGTTGGCGGAATGAGCAGAGAGTTCAGTTTGCGTCGCTTTCGCTCGATTCATTTTTGACCTGCGTCGCTGTCGTCATCTGCTGCACGCGAGTCGTCATCTGCTGTCCGCGAGTCGTCATCTCTCTCGAGTCGTTGTTCAGCTCGTTTCAGCCTTGCCTCGGCTTCTTTGATCACAATCCGCTTGATGTCGCCGCCGTTCAAGTAAGTTTGCTTTCAATCTGCGTGATCCGCCGCGATGGCGATTACTCGTTTCCACCAGGGAGTCGTGAAAAATGTTTTACGACTCCCTGGTTTCATCTTCGCTCTCCAGAACTCCGCGAAACGAGGAGTAAAGGCACAGCTAAACTGATTCCATTTTCTCTAATGGATACCAGCACTGAACGGCAGCGGCTAGCAAGTCCAGTCGACTTTCTTTAGCCACGAGACTCGCATCTGACTGCAGACTTTTGAAAGAATGCATGGTCATCAGCATTCGAATCTGGGCTTTGCCCAGGTTGAACAAGAACTAACGACGTGTTACTTCAGTTCAGAATTATTTTCATTGAGCCGTGCGATTGGAGCAGCTCCTTGTTCACTCGCTCATTGTGTGGGCTCGCTGCTCCGTGTTATCGCTCTCTATCAATCTCCAACGTACTCAGTGCTAAAGTGGTAGAGGGGCCAAGCAACGCAATATCCCCTCGGATAAGTGGCATTTCAGTTTCGCTCGCCATGGCTGTCATCACCTATGTTTCCACAGCGCAACCATCGATTCCGCTCGGCTTGTTGTGAAAGGCCGCTTTCCTTGCATCGTACCTCTGTCATGGCATGCCAGGGAAGGCCAAGAAAGTGACTGTGACTCATTTCCCGGCAGTTTGTGCCCAAATCAGGCCCTCAAAATTCCATCACGAAGTTTTTGTTAACGGAGGAAGTAGCTATCAAAAAAGATCATTGTTGAAGAAGAGCGTAGAGCAATGGGCAGTTTATAGTGGAAATGGTGCGTCTTCATCATGTTTTGACGTTGCACCAAGATGCCTCTCAATACGTAGCGTATTCAAGTACTCTAATTTCAGAAATTTTAGGTGCTCAATATTTTCGGTACGAGGGCAAAAGGCCAGGTTAGGTGAACAGAAATTTCAGGTACAGAGAAGCAGTTCCCTCTTGGATTATGTGTGTTAGTGTTTGTTCGGTGTATTGAAATTTTAGGTATGAAACCGGAAGTACACCTAACATTTGTGGAATTACAGTATTACAGTGTTCTACTCAGTGTTTGGTCGCATCCTCTTATATTGCTTTCCGAATGTCTATCCATCTGACCTATCCCTCTGTTTGGCCTCTCTCTTTCTCTCTCTCTCTCTCTTTCTCACTCTCACTCACTCACTCTCTCTCTAATGCACATGGGCCAGTTTTTGCAATCCTCCTTGATTTCATTTCGTACTTTTATGCTTTTTCTCGTTTTCCCCACCCTGCAGAATGTAGTATTTAGCGCCTCTCCCGATGCCACAATTCGCATGTGGACTGTAGCGAACAGCCATTGTCAACATGTGATCAAGGTACGTGCAAAACGTCATGCTGTGCTTATGCCCTGTTAGTAGTCATGGGTTGGCAGTTGACCTGGGATCCTGTCACGCTACGTATGTCCGGATCACATCAGTCGTTGGCCGATGAATGCTTGCAGAGTTTCGTTCCTATCTTGCCCTGTTGTTCATGTATGTAGGTGCGTGTTTTGCAATACGCCCATTGCGTAATGACAAAATTTGCACCGCCAACACCCCGCACACAGACACCTGAGCATGGTCGTGTGGGGTGTTTAACAGTGCATTGCTGATCCCAGTGTACTCACATAACACCCCACACAGCCACACCTGGGCATGGGTGTGTGGGGTGTTTTAACAGTGCATTGCTCATACCTTCCATATTTGGCAATGCGCACTGGACTTATGACCATTGTTGACTGCTGTTGCTGCTGCTACCGTGTGCAGGCTCACGATGGTCCAGTTACTGGTCTCTCGCTGCAAGCCACTGGCGACTACTTGCTCAGTTGCTCCACGGATCAGCACTGGGCGTTCAGTGATGTTACCACCGGTCGTGTCCTGGCAAAGGTTACTGATCCATCGATTAACGATGGTAGGTGTGTGTGTGTGTGTGTGTGTGTCTCTCTCTCTCTGTCTGCCGTCTCTCTCTCTTTCTCTCAAACAATGTTCTCCTCGATGACGAGATCATCCTTGCGCACTCAGTGTTGTGACATTCTTTACCCAATGCTGCTGTTGCTACTACTGCTGCTGTTGCTATTGCTACGGTGATGCTGTGGTCAGTAAGCGTGGGTGATGTTTGTTCAACGTGCTGATATCTTCTGGGACCTCTGGTTGTGGTGCAGTGTGTGCGCCCGGCCCGGAGGGCTGAGGGGAGTTCTGTTGTACTATTTTTTGGGCTCTCTCTCTCTCTCTCTCACACACACACGCACACTCTCCGTCTCTATCCATCTCTCTCTCTCACGCTCTCTCGCTCGCTCTCTCTCTCTCTCTCTCTCTCTCTCTCTCTCTCTCTCTCTCTCTCTCTCTCTCTCTTGGTGTCTCAGTGCAATCAGTTGCCTCGCGTTCTACCTTGCCTGGGCCAGTCCTTTTGCATGATACCAAGATGTCTATCCTCAAATGTATCCCATGAACTGTTCCATTCTCACCACAAAGAACTCCGTAATGAGTGCATTGAGGTTTGGGAAATCGTCAATTCTATTTTTCGTTTTTCATTGTGTGCTTTTTGCTTGTTTCTAGAGCTGACTTGTGCGCAGTTTCACCCTGACGGTCTGCTGTTCGGTACTGGCTCAAAGGACAGGTGAGGCGATGGTGATCATGCTGCTGATGCTGTTGCCACTGCTGCTACTAAAAAGGTGTTTTACTGAACGCACAAACAAAATTAATGATGATATGAATGCAGGGAGAGCATCGAAATAAAAAACAGAACAGCAAAATTGATTGATAAAAATGCTGCTTCTGCTGATGCTGTGGCTAATGGTTAGGGTAGGGCTGGTGCTGTTGGGGGCCACTCATGAATCACTCTGCATGCGCTGATTTGTTTCTGCCCTGTGTGTGTGCCGCATGGGTTGTGTGTGTTCCTGCTGCAGTGTCGTAAAGATCTGGGACTTGAAGGAGAAGGCGAACGTGGCCAACTTCCCCGGCCACTCCGGTCCCATCACGGACATTGCCTTCTCTGAGAACGGGTAAGTCCGCCGCCTACTGACTGCATTCTCCAGCTCTGCATGTCTTTCACTTTCGCAGAGGTAGCCCCGTGTGTACTAGTACACAGCCTACTGATCTTTGTGGACGGATGGTGGTCCAGCTGTGTTGTGTCCAGAACACAGGCTGTTGCAAGTGTGTGACGTTTCTGCGCCAGTCCGCGTGTGCCTTCTAATCTTTATCCAGCGGCTGTTCCACCAAGGGTTGTGGTCTTCAACTTGTACATAGCTCCGTGTACAGTCAATTTTTTTGTTCAGCGGCCGTCCCACCGGAGCCGTATCTTGTACATGGCTAATCATACACTGTGGACAACATGTTTGTCTGATGATCGCCGCCTGGCATGAAACTCTCGAGTTACAATAAGTAATTTGTTCCTCTTTGTCCGCAGTGTGTGTGAGAGCAGCTGTATACCCTGTGCACGGAGCACTATTGCAACAACAACAACAACAGTGTCTACATCAAGAGTTCATAATCCCCCAGCGTGCGCAACTTCACTGATCAGATCTGGGACGGCGAAATCCGTGTTGCACGTCATAGTGTGACATCATGAGTAGGGGAAGTGTTTTGGTGGCGGACCGCATCGACGGAATGACGCAAGTCCCACCCGGAAAAAAACCCCATACATCACGGATTACACTGTCCCACCACCCCATCCCAGTTGCGCACTCTGGGGGTTATCGACTCGTGTCTACATGCATGTCCGTAAAGTCGTGCTCGGTGAAATCCGACCCGAAGTGCACAGTTGGCGCCCTGGAAGTGGTACGAATGTGGCTCGACGTACACATACCGTAAAGTCTTGTATAAAAGCCGCACTTGAATAGAAGCCGCAATTTTTGGCCCATCAAATCACACGTAAGCCTGGTTTTAGTGTTGACATACATAGAAATACCTATCTTGTATAGAAGCCTGTCTCATATGGAAGCCTGCAAAATTTCACCAAGAAAGTCATAGAAGCCGCGGCTTTTATACAAGACTTTACGGTATATCAGTACTGTGATGTAATCGGAACTGGTCCAGGGTGCCAGTTGCCAGCACTTTGGGGTCGGATTTCAGTGAGCGCAACTGTAGTTGTCTCGAGTGTACCGTATTTCCCCGATTATGAGTCGCACCCACCTTTTCAGGATTGAGCCATATTGTTTCTGTACAGTCGCGTAGGTAGGATGTCGCACCCCCTTATGTGCCCTTGAAGTTAAGTGTAAAAAGATGCGACTTACATTCAAGGCAATATGGTATAATAAGAAGTGGCTTGATGCTAGTGATGCCCGGTCTCAAACAGACGCGCGGTCCGTGTCTGAGTGTTTCTCTATTGTTCTGGCGTGTGCCTGCAGTTATTTCTTGGCGACGGCTGCAGACGACTCGACTGTCAAGCTGTGGGATTTGCGTAAGCTGGAGAACTTCAGAACAATTCAGCTGGAGGGCAGATATGAGGTAAGAGGTGGTGTTTCTGCAGGATATAGTTTCCTCGTTGGTGCTTGCATGTCTCTCTGTGCCATATCACAAGTAGGTATCAAAAATCAGCTGTGATTCACAGAAGCATTTGTTGTCTTTGCCTTAGTTACATGGCTGAAATTGTTTCCCAAGTTTCCTGTGACAAGCGAATTTCTGCTGTCGGTGCTGCGGCTGCTGCTCTTTCTCCTCTTGCCGTTCTTGCTCCGTTCACCTTGCTGCTGTTAATGGTATGGTTGTTGGTTGTGCTGCTGTAGGTGAAATCTCTATCGTTCGACTCGAGTGGTAACTACCTAGCTATCGGCGGTACTGACATCAGGTGAGTGAGCGACCGGACATGATTTCCTCTGCTGCAGTCTCAGCCCTTCACAGCTTCATATGCTCAAGTAGTAGACAGTGTGGATGCTGTGGATGTGGATGCTGTGGATCGGATTGCTTTCTCTCTTTCTTGCATTCTCTCTTCAATTATTTGTGTGCTCATATCGGAATTGTTTTCTGGCCGTAAAAGTGGCTTCTTCAGCAGACGGTGTGCACAATGTTATTGTGATGTCATCATCCGGACGCATATTCTGTACCAAATGGGTGCTCTATAGATGTAAACGAAATGCGTTGCAACACCCACGTTGTCCTACAGGTTGTGCTTGTTTGGTACACGCTTTGTCTAACTTTCTTATCACTGTGTGTGTGTGTGTGTGTGTGTGTGTGTGTGTGTGTGTGTGTGTGTGCGTGTGTGTGTGTGTGTGCGTGCGTGCGTGTGTGTGTGTGTTTATCGTGTTGTTTATCGTGTTGTTTATCGTGTTGCAGATTATATCACTGTAAAAAGACGTGGAATCAACTCGCTATGTTTGATGGTAAGTGGACATGGTGTCCTGTGCTCTTGCTTGGTTCAAGGTCTCTCTCTTCTCTATTTCTTTCTCACTCTCACTCTCTCTCTCTCTATCTATCTATCTACTAGTATCTATCTATCTATCCATCACAAACACGCACGTACACAAACACCCACCCACACACACACACAAACACCCACACACACGTACACGTACACACACTCTATCTATCTCTATCTATCTATCTATCTATCTATCTATCTCTCTTTCTCTCTCTCTATCTCTCTCTATCTATCTCTCTCCGGATGTGGTTGCACTTGCCTCTGCTACTGTAGTTGTGGATGTTGTGACTAGAAATGGCGGAATGCAGCTGATCACCGCTGGTCTTCACTAGTGCTTAGCTCGAGTGTCCGCGCTCTGTGTAGCGACGCACAATTGGATCGGAACAGAACATTGGGCCAGGGCCGGTTTTGAACACAAATTTGACCATGAGGCCAAGAGTTCGCTGGGTACACATAAGAAAGAGAACGGGGGGGGGGGGGGGGGGGAGGCAGTTTGCCAAGCTTTCTTTGTACTTCGGTGGATATACATGGAAACATCGGCTTGCTATGCTGGCTGGCATGGGTTGAACAAAGGCCATGCCAAGCCTCTCACTGGCTTGTGCGAGAAACCCAGCTTTCACCATCAACTGTTTTGTTTTGTTATTTTTGATGGATGTTTCCCTCCGTTGCCTATTCTGTCCTCATACATGACATGTATTGTGTCTCTGTGTGTGTTTGTGCTTATAGAACACAGTGGCCCAGTCACTGGCGTTGCATTTGGCAAGAATGCGTCGTACCTCGTCTCCGCCTCCATCGATCGCCATCTCAAGTTTTACACGGCGCAGTAGGCGACGGCGCAATGGCCGGTTTGTTTGTTGCGGCATCATCATCACTACCGCTACTGTGGCTGCTACTGCACAAATAGTGCTATTGCCAGTCTGGCTGAGTGGGTGCGTGTACGTGTGCATGTGCGTGAGTAAGCACGATGCCCGCTGTGGAGAGAACGCGCCGTACACTTCGGCACGTCTGTGCGTAGCTACGTAGGTGGTGAGTGATTCGTTTCACCACCTCTCCCGCAGCGTAGCTTACGACGCTGGTGCACGGTGTTGGGGTGTCTATGCGCGCATGCATGCGTGTGTGCGTGCGTGCGTGTTTGCTTAGTTGTTAGTGTGAGCATGACTCGGTATTTTTTTCCTGTACAGATTTCAGATCGTTTGATCTCTTATTTTATGCATGTCTGCTCGCGCCTTCACGGAACCTGTAGCGTGAGCCATCATTGATCCATAGTCCGCGGGGTTTTTTCCCGGTCGATTCTTCTCTGCTTTTCTGCGCGTCTTCGGTCCTTTGCTATTTGCTTTTAGAGCTTTCTTTTTTGATTTCAGCATATTTCGTACACTCCTGTTGCGACTGGACTGCTGGCACTGTTTTGATTCGGGCGTGCTCCTCGTCCATGTGCGCAGTTTCATCTGATTTTGTGATTTTTTTGTTTGTTTTTGTTTTGGTGTGTGTGGTGGGGTGTCAGTGTCCGTATGACAATGTGCCCGCCTGCCCTCCTCACTACTAGTTTGTCCACGTACGTACGCCATCTGCTCTCTGCTCCGTGTTCTGGTGGTGTTTGAGTTTACCTGTGAAATTCGTTCTCCTCGTCGCCTTGCTGTGTTTGTCTTGTGTTTTGTTTGCTGGTTCAATACTCTCAACTTTGTAGTGTTCATTGTAGTAACTACCAGCTTCCCGCTCTCTATCTCTTCTTCATGTGTCCTTCATTGTTGTGTTTGCGGAAATCTGCCTTCTACGACCATTGAAAAGTAACTCTGGAGAAGAACCACTGACAATGAAGCGGTGCTGATGGTGTGTGCGCGTCTGTGTTTGTATGAATTGTTGAGGATGTCTTTTTGGCACCTTCTGAAGTTGGTTTTTGGGCGAATACTAGTACCTTGTTTCCAGCATGTTCTCACACTCTTGGTACATACATTACATGTATACTGTCTAGCCACTACAATGAACATGGTTAGCATGTTACTGTTTACGCGAAATCCAACGGTACTCAAATTTTCACGCGGTGAACGTTGGTATGCTCCCCCCCCCCCCCCCCCCCCACACACACACGTACACACACACTATCCACATACTGCCCTCTCCATATTTTTAGTACGGAATATTATATAGCTGACAAAGTACCATTAATTTTTTTCTTTTCTTTTGCTTCACATTATCATACCGTATTATCTCCATTATATAAGCACGTTCCTTTATTTTTTCAATGTACCTCCGCCCCGTGCTATTAATGGAGACGTTCCTTTATTGGAGACTATTCCATTATTAATTCAACCTCATTTCAGAGGCTTGTTGCCATGCCAAATTCATGTCAGACACACACATTTCAGGGTTTTTTCGCCGGTACAGATAATGAATTTACACAGTGTGCTTATACAGTCAGACCTCGCATAACCGCACACATCCGTCTTCCAGAAAAATATCCGGATAGGCGAGGGAACCGGATAATCTGACACGCACACTGTATGTGTACATGACATATGCTGTAAATCGGTAACCAACGATTTTCTTCCGGATGGCGAGGGATCCGGATAAACGAGGACCGGATAAGCGAGGTCTGACTGTAATGGAGACTGAGCACTTTATTTTTTGAATGCCGCCCCAAGGTGTTCTATTATTGGAGACGTGCTATTATCTGATTATTGGAGACTGTGCTTAGAGATAATACGGTATTCATCAATTAGTACGAACTCGTAGGAGCCGTGGTTGGCTCTGGCCATCCCGGCGAGAAGGCAGATATGCCTGTTCGATTGGTGAATTAAAATTAAAATACCATACCGTACCATCAAGAGTGCATAAACACTCTTGATACCATACATGAGAGAATGGAATAATAAGATAAAGTGCCCTGCTAGCCTGGATGGACATGCCAGGGAGTCGTAAAAATACTTCATGACTCCCTGGATACGGGTCATGGATCTCTTGCCTGTACCGTTAACGCGTTACCATGTACCAGACAGTGGTTACTTCTTTTCTTCTTGGCCAAGACAGGGCGAGGTCGGTCACCGACGCCAAGAATCTTGCGAGCGCTGGTATTTCTGTGCCAGAGACTTTTATTACAAAGCACGAAGAAGTGTAAAAACCAGGGAGTCGTATTTTACGACTCCCTGGTAAAAACAACAGAAAAATGATAAAGCACCCATTTTGATAATCCAGGGGATGGCCCACGCCCAGGGAGTCGTCAAATATTTGACGACTCCCTGCCCACGCCTGTGGTACTGTACTGCCACTGCATTATAAAATTAATCATACGTAATGACTGATAAAAGGTGTGAAGCAAACTAATAACAAAAGTGTAAATGAAAATGCTGGTGTTTCTGTTGTGTGTGGTACCGCACGCGTACCCGTACACAGTGGTACACATACCGGTATGTAGATCTACGTGAACGGAGTCTTTTTGAGCAGGATCGTGGGTTTCGACTGGTTCATGACCTATTGAACCCGTGACCTGCCAGGTCAAACTCGCGGTTCAACACGCATGACGGCATGTGTGGCGCGGCGCGGAGTTCTTGCTTGGACCTTCGAAAAGCCAAACAGCCGTTTTGGGACATGACCTACTTTTTGGGAAAGAAATATCAGCTTGGATGTCAAGGTTGGCTGCTGCTGACTGAGAAATTTGTTTCAGGCGAGCAAACACACCCCGCAAAAGCCACACCAAGTTTTCAGCGGAAGATAGAAATCTTCCCAGTAATAGCCTGGTTTAGCTCGTGTAACTTGCAGTGGCGGTCGAAGCGATTTCGGAGGCCGAGGATATAGGTGAAGTGGAAGGGAGAGGGAGTTTGAAGTAGCAGTTTTTTTTCCTAGCCTTGGTCGGGAAATCAATCCGTGTGTGAGACCGAGACGAGTTCTGCGTACATGTCCAAGAACCAGTTGACACTATGGTGAAGGTGAGAAAGAAACGTAGAATTCTTCCCTTGCTTCTGCCAAAAGTGAGCAGGCACTTTGTTGTTGCCTTGCTGTAATGGCATTTGGCGGTTTCAATGTTGGACAAATCCCCTTTATGGATTGGAATTTGTTGCATCTTAGGCAAGCTTCCTTCTCACTGAGGCCTTTAAGGCCTTTGGTCGAAAACTCGATGTGCATGTGATGTACGAATGCGACAAACATGATTTAGAGCGTGTATGGTATTGCTTTTGGCCTTGTGAACCTGACATAATTGGCTGTAGGTTTACTGTACTCTACTGGACTGTACTGTACTGTGAGTGTTCTCCCAATGCACCTCCCAATGCACCTCCCGATGCACCCTGAACTGTACTGCACCAAGCAAAGCACGCTGAGCGTGGTCGCTGACGACCCGAGTGGGCGACTACGCCTTTTTCTATTCTTACTTCTTGCTGTGTAACGGATACCGTCCGAAGGCAACATGTCTCAGTTCCAGTCAGTTCAGGCAGCCAAATCGTCCACACTGCTTTTTGTAGCTGCTTGACCACTGCACACATGTGTTGAAGATCTATACTACATGTACAGTAGTTTGCACTGGTGTTACAGCACTGGATGTTTCGATACAGCAAGAAGGGGACATAGAGTATTCCCCTCTAACCTAGTAACGTTAGGATAGCCAGAATTGCCACCAAAAGCACTTCAATGACTAGGATCAAGAGTCCATAAACAAGAGTATGCAACTGTGATCTCTTTTCTATGGGCCAGATGCGCGGCGCGCTGCCTTCATTACATCATTCAGCTGCAGTCCGCGCACTGCGGAAAATCAAACACCGCACTTTCCCTCCAGTTTGAAATGAACTTTCGTACGGAACTGGAGTTCACGCGCCAGAATTCAGAGATTTTGTAGGTACTGGAACGAATCAAGCAAAAACGGATGGGCTCGTGCGAGAAATTGAGAGTTTGGATGCATGCTTTCAGAGCGTGATGAACGCAAGTTACGTAATGAAGGCAGCGCGCCGCGCACTGACCCATAACCACAGTTGCATACTCTTGTTTATGCACTCTTGCTAGGATGTATGTACATGTATGGTGCAGGGAGAGTCAGTACTCAATAGAGAGTTTTTTGTCGAGTTCATTGGTGCGTGATATCATTTTAACGTGAAGCGAATGTGCTAGTTTTGTAATAATTATTGTATTTTTATTGTTTTTAAACCTCGAAAGCCTATCGAGGGGGTTTCCAAACTTCCATAATACCAAAGCCATATAAGAAGTGATGAGCAATAGTCTAAGCCAGGCATTGGCATTCATGATTGCCTGCCGTGAACGTGTTTGGGCCATTCTTCAGCTATGACGCCATCGTGAAAACTAACGCATAATGAGAACGTGAGAAATGGCAGCTTTTTGTGGCATACGTCTCTACTAGTGTCAGGTCCCACCGGCCCAGAAGATTTTGTTGTTTGCTAAAGTTAGGAAAGGGTTTGCTCCCCACACAGGAGCTTGCGCTTTTCCGCCTACTTGACTGGGCACTTGACTGGCTCACGACTAAAGTGATGTACAAAATAGCAAATCACACACTGGCAACCTGGCTGTTGTAGCTGTGAGAGTTGACAACATCACGGGTGCGATGCTAACTGGAACACCTATGTGTTGAGAAGCAAGTCACTCAGGGTGTAAAGACCGGGCGCAGGAAGCCCAAAGCCAAAAGCGCATCACGCACGTGCGCTACATATATCAATTGAATTGTCTCAGTATTATGCACACTCACACGCCTACGCACACACTCATGCATGACTAAAATAATCCCAACACTGCTGTAGCGAGTAATTGAAAACCACGTGAAAATATCTGCACTCCAAAGTGACATGTCACGCATGAGTCAACTGAAGACAATCATATGAATCTCTGGATCACTTTTACTGGGCATTCTGACCTGCGACTGAAGTTTTTCTTCCAGTAGAATTTATTACAGTCAAACCTCTTTGACGATGAACACCAAGGGAACGATGGTATTTGTTCGCAAAAAGGAGAGCCTTTCTTGTCCATGGTGTATACCCAGTGAATATAGAGTGATGTATTTAACCTTTTGAGCCCGGGCCCATTAAAAACCTCTGCCACGCAGTAAAAAAATTAGATTCACTCTATGTGAGCAAACTTGATTACAAACGATTCTTTCATATATCCTGAGCACAGAACTGTTTTTGTTTTGGAAATGAAACAAAGATTACAAAAGTTATGACCGTTTTCAGAAAGGTAGTTTTACGCGAAATTGGTAAAATTGAAATGTATGCACGCGCATGTAACTCCAGTTCAAACTTACGGATCGAATCGCATTTTTTTACGGTACGCGTACATCCTAGGAGTCCTCTGTGCAGCGGTACAGCTCGACGCCACGCCACGGAAGAAACGCGGGATCGATGTAGTTCCGCACTGACTCGTGACGTTCTAGAACGTCACGCGTGTCACAGTGGCAGTGGTCATGACGTGTCGGAACGTCATGCGTGCTCAAAAGGTTAATAGGGTTATGAATACCATGGCTGTCTTACGCCCACTTTGCACTTGATGAAATGCTCACTTACATTGTTTTGTCTTAGGGCTAGCTTGTAACTTGTTTCAGATTACATGTAGTAGTGTGAATTACGTGACTGTTCCTGTACTGACTTATAAAAGCCAACTTTGTATCATTCTTCTCCTGTATCCCTGATGACGCCCTCCTGGGTGAAAATTTGGACAATTTCAACTGTACGTGGTGTAGCCAAGGACTGTTTGTGGGTTGCGAGTTGGGTATACTGAAAATTATGCACAGTATTCTTCACTCTATAGTGGTTTTGAATTGCACCCAGTGAGTAGCTGCAATGCTACAGAGTGGTGTGTACCAATCAGCACGAGTCTGTTCCGT